ATTTAAAAGACGTGTAGATGTGGTGCTTAGGGACATGGTTTAGTGGTGGACTTGGCAGTGTTAGGTTAATGGTTGGAGTTGATGATCTTTAGGTCTTTTCCAACCTAAACAATTCTATGATTCTATGATTATTCTGAACTAGAAAATGGCATTCTAATATAGGGTCTTCAATTTTTTAAAGAGAACAGCTATATTTACAACTCATTTTAAAAGCTCTGAAATGTAAGGTAAAAATCCAGATTTCTTTATTTAAGACAGAAACACTTTGGTTACCGCTGATTCGTATTTAGGACTGTTAACAGATAATTGGCTTCTTGATTATCAGTTTAACAAGTGACAGTTTCAAATCAATTAAATCAATTACTGAATCGGTCACCGAGTGAGGAATGCTCCTCCCTTTGAAGGGCTCAGAATATTCCCTGTTGTTGGGAGCAAAGAGAGGAACAAGTGAGTGATCAGAGGATGCGAAGAGTCACCTAAAAGCTGGGGGCACTGCCTACTCTGCAGCACACAAGTTGGATTCCTAGCAAACTTCTGTGTGCCAGCACCCAGTGTCCCAGGTTGCGCAGTATAGAGGAGCCACTACCAGGACATAGATAGCTAAACAGGAATGATGGAGTAGGAAGAGAGCTGTGCCTAGAGCCAGATCCAGGAACAACTAAGTCCAAAGCAAGGCTGTTAGTTTTGGCTTGTAATCATAAGCAATAATGCTTTTATTTCCTTTTTTTTCCCCCCTGTACAATGAATGGTTGACAACTAAAACTTGCACGTGTGTGAGAATGTTACAATGCAAAAGAAAAAAAAATAGATCTTTTATACTTGTTCTAAAGCACAACCATTGAAAAAAATCCTATGCTGAGTAAATGTAATCAAGCATTATAATACTTTGAAACAATAATACAGTATTTACACAATTTTGGCTTTGCTTAGCAAATGCTTAGTTACTTGATGGTAAATCTCAGTTTGTACTATACAGTCAAATACCTGGTTTTACAGTCATTTAAACTTGCTTGCTAGAAACAGGAACTATTGTCTGTCAGGATAATGTTCAGGAGAATGGCTACAATGGCTATAAATCACACTTTTGCCAAGTAAACATAAATATGTATTGCCATAAAAGAGATAAAGAAAAAAATAGTGGGTTTGCGCTGGTAGTTCCTTACAGATGTTACCAAGGTAACTAAATTACAAGGTTTAGTACATTTCTCATCCCTGGGAAGCTGGTCTATTTTTGCCAAGAATAAGGCTACTCTAAAGCAAGAGTTTCTGAGGTATCAGAAACGCAGACCACATCAGGAATAACTGGTTTTGGGGAAAAAGGCAGGAGGGTCTGACCCAGGAGAGGAAAGGCACATTCACCCTCGGATATGGGCAGCCACAGCCCCAACACCTCCTGGCCCTGCTTGTGGCCGCTGGACGGAGCCGCCCTGCTCCTAGGCCCGCAAGGACTGCAAGCACGCACGGCCGCCACACAGCTGCCAAGGGGCAAGGCTGGTTTCATGGAG